AGTTTGTGCAGAGTACACAAGCGTCGTCCTGGGAGAAGCCTCCTTGGTGGATGTGGTTCCTGAGTGGGAGGCACTGTCTTAACTGCAGTCATTAGCTCTTCCTTTCTCCCCAGAGTTGTTCATTTTTTCTGATTCTTCCACAAGATGAGAGACAGGACCTCAAAACTTAGACCTAGATCTCTCTATAGCTACTCACAGGGCTGATAACAAATCCTTCATTTTTTAGTTTCTTTCACAGGTTCCAAAATATCAATTTTTCCTTTGCAGTTTACAGAGTTATTAACAGTTTTTACCCATGCAGTATTTGAAGATGATCCAGTATTCTAATTGCCATATACTCCTAGCTAATGGATGATACCTTTGAAAATGTTTGTTTTCAGGAGGTTAATTTTTAACATGAGAAGACAGCAGAGAATAATCACCAGACTCTGCTTGACAGAATTTTTGTGCTGTAATGCATTCTGTTGTCATATATAAAAAATTAATTTTTAAAAAAGTTTTGTGCCTTCCTCTTTTCTTAGGCACAGTCATCTTTCCTCCATATTTTTGACAAGTATTCTGGCTTATAACAGGGTTGTCTCCAAAATCTCACCTGTTGAAACATGGTCCCCAAATGCAGCAAGGTGGAAAGATGAGCTTTTATGCTATGACTATCACGGAGGCTCTGACTTCTTCTGTGGACCAGTCCACTAACAACTGATTGGACTACTGGGAAGAGAACTAGTTGGAGGACATAGATCACTGGGGTAGCTCTGAACAGAATCATCTTCTCCCAGCACCTTCCTCCTTCTCTGCTGCCTGGCTGCCATGAGCCGAACAGCTTTTCGCCATGTTCTTCTTCCCTGATGTTTTTGTCTTGGAGTGAGACTACCATGGCCTGAGTGCTCTGAAACTGTGAGCTGAAATAAATGTTTCCACTCCTAAGTTGTTATTTTAGCTATTTAGGTCACCAAAATGAAAAGCTCACTATAATGGAAATGTTAATAGGTGGCATGTCCTTATCCACTGTCCTGTGTTTTCACTAGTGCTGGATTTCAGAATTGCCTGGGGATGGCACTTGGTACCCAGGGGGTATTAGATTGTCTACAGATCTCTTAGATCATCTATAAAGCATCACCTCCTGGCCATCTCTTCCTAGATGACAGACTGAGGATTGTGGTGCAGCCTTGAGGGAAAAACTGGTTGTCCTAGAATAAATGAGAGAGGCATCTCCTTTGTCCATTTTGTCTATACCCGTAACTCCTTGGAACATGAGTATTTTCCCCATAACCTCCACTTTATGGAGATTTTTGGTGGCCTACAGATTGGATCATGGTGTTGAAGGGGAAATACAGAATTCATTCTCCTCTTTGTGTTTTCTCTCAATTATGAGTATAAGGAAAACAGCCCAAAGTTAAAGGAAAACCCTCACTCTTCAGGTGTACAGGAATCCATAATGTACCTTGTGAGTAAAAATAGGGATGGGAGAAGGTCCAAGCTGACATAAAAACTTGTGTCTGACCTGTCTGTTTTACAGTCAGCTCTGCTCTTCCCGGGCTTGTCACTTTGAAAAGATGTCTTTACTTACTTCAGCTTCAACTTTTCCCTATCTGTAAAATGTGTTTATTTGTAGAGCTTCAAACATAAGCAAACATATGAAAAGTTACAGGATAGAGTTGGATTTTAGAAAAGGAAGTCAGCATTATGTTAGCTTTGTTTAAACGTTTTATTCATCTTCTTTTCTGGAGTATCCTTTATACGTTTCTCATGTGCTCTGTGTTTTGAGAAGTGCTTTCAAATAGCATTAGTTTTGGAAATTTTACCAGAAATAATAAATAGGGAAAATCTCTCTTTCATTATGACTAAGAAAAAATAACTGCAGTTTTTCAAAATTGAGTGTTAGGTGTATAGATGAATTTCAGATTCACCAAGTCATTAGTTCCTTGTCCATGGAGGCCTGTGACAGTCAAAATGTCATAGATCTTGGGGCTGGGGCTGTAGCTCAGTGGCAGAGTGTTTGCCCAGCATATGTGAGGCACTGGTTTGATCCTCAGCCGACATAAAAATAAATTAATAAGCAAAGATATTGTGTCCCTCTACAACTTAAAAATATTTTTTAAAAACCATAGATCTTATTATCTGGATGTTGGAGTTTAATACAAAGACATGTGAGATGAGGTTTGGCAAATCCTGGAATTATACACAGGATTTATGTTTTAGTAAATGATTTGTTATCATGGAGATAGCAACTAAATATCACATTTATTTTTTGAAAAAAGATGGATGGTCTTGGTTTTCCTATTGTGGCATGAATGTAAGTGCTTTACATATTTGTTGCCTCCTGTGGATATAACACTGAGTTTGGATGGGCATGGTGGGTGGTTTATAACTCTGAGTTTGGATGGGCATGGTGGGTGGTTTATGCCTGGGAAGGCAGCTACTCAGGAGGCTAATTGCACATTTAAGATCAGCCTTGGCAGATAAGAGAGACTGTGTCTCAAAATAAAAAGTAAAAAAAATGTTATGATTGTTGGTAGTGGTAAATCTGTAATTAGTCCCTGGATTCAACCCTAACTACAAGACAAAATCCCACTGAGTATTAATACTTTTACCCATTAAGTTGTGAATATTCAACTTTAACTCCTTAAAATATATAAGCTCATATATGCCTCCTATGTTGGGGGCTTTGTTCTTACACTTTCTTCTGAGCCACGATATGTATGCATGACCTGCAGGTTTCAAAAGGTTTTCTTTTTGACAGATAAACAATGGAAAATCTTGGTCTCCTAGATTTGTTGATGGTTTTGGATCATTAGATTTGTTAAAAAGTGAGCCATGCTTTGTTTTCTTCCCATCTGAATGCTCTATCATCTACAAAGGCACGAGTGTTAATAAAACGTGCATTCATTGCCCCTAATATCTTAGTAAGTCCTAAAAAAACCCAGAATGATTACAAGAAACTGTAACTCTAGAATTCTAAGAAAAATCTACTGAAGTACACTATTATGACATTTTGTTTGATTTGCCCACTGATGCCACAGCAGTGATGTGTCCTTTTATGTATATTGACACTTCATATAAATATGTTCCATTACAGCTGTTTTAACCTTATTTGCTGGAATTAATACTGTCTGCCTAATTTTCCCTCTAAAGTTAATTTTTTCTCTTTGTCTTTAGGTATCTTGGTAGAATATTTCTAAATAATCTACATAAACCATCATATTTGAAACAGAAACTCTTCTTTCTTAATATTTTTTTCACCTTACATTGGGGAAAGCAGCCTCAGCTTTGTCACCAGAGACACTGGCTCTATTGTGGAGCTCCTGGAGAGACCACCGCCCTGGAGGCTTTCATCTCATCCCCCTGCAGCTCACAGCTGTATACCTCATAACGTCCTTGGATTCTCTGTGAAAGGAACAAGAATCACATCTTTCCAAGAGTCTGAAAATTATAAAGTGTACCTCAAAATAAAATTTCAATGACAGGGAAAATGTTACATACACAGGACTCAGAAACTATGGCTCTTATTTTATCACCTACCCTTAAGTGTGTAAATCTCAACAATGTCTTCTAAGATAATATGCATCCAAGTTGAAGTGTACATTTTACAAAGTGGAATGACTTGTCTTTATTTCCATGAAAGTCTTCCTGGGTGAGCAGAGTTCCCCTCCAGAATCCCCAGCTAATCAGAGTTCCTAACTATGTAATTCTCTTGCCTTGCAGAGTATTTTTTGGGAGCTTATTTTCTTAGTGAATGAATTTCAGATCCTTACTTTGAAGAAAAAGTTGACATTCCTATGTGCATACATGGATCATAAATATCATTGATCAACCTGATCTTATTTCTTCCTAATGTGTTTCTATTAGTCTTCTCATTTACAATAAATGCTGTGTTCTTAAAATTTTTCTAGTGTTCACATGTTATCTTGACTTTAATTTTTCCTCTCTTTTTGTGTTAGAGGTCAAATAAAAGTGGATAAAAATTAGGCTATATTATTTTTGGGTGTTTGACAAAATGTCATAAATATTGAACACCATTACTGCTATCATATTCTTTTGGTTTTCTCCATTAAGACATGAAAAACTGGGCTGGGGATGTGGCTCAAGTGGTAGCACGCTCTCCTGGCATGCGTGTGGCCCGGGTTCGATCCTCAGCACCACATACAAACAAAGATGTTGTGTCCGCCAATAACTAAAAAATAAATATTTAAAAAATTCTCTCCTCTCTCTCTCT